CATAGTGTATGTGTGTGCGCGCACGCGTGCGTGTGCCTGCCTTCAAGTCGCCTGTTGACATATGGCAACTCCATGAGTTTCATTGTGTTTTCTTAGGCAAGAAATACTCAGAGGAAGTTTTGCCAGTTCCTCCCTCTGAAACAAAACTATATTTCTTGTTGTGTGCCTTGAACTTGTTCCTAGGTTATAACAGCTGTAAGGCAAACTTGTCATGGGGTTTTCTTATCAATTATTGTTTAGATGGGATTTGCCTTTGCCTTCCTCTGAGGCTGAGAGTTTGACTTGCCCAAGATCACCCAGTAGGTTTCCATGGTTGCTTGGGTATTTGAACCTTGGTCTCTAGAGTCGTAGTCCAGTGCTCAAATCACTACACCAAGCTGCCTCAAAGCTATATTGCACAATTCTTCCCCACAGAGGCATGGAGTATATGAGAATAACAGGCTATTGACTGTTCTCCTCCACTTGAGTTTGCAGACATTAGACATATACAAAAGCTAATCATCACTAATGATAGGGAGCTGTGGAAAATGTTGATGGAGAATCCAGATAGTGTTGCTAGCTCACTGTATTCCAGTGTTTTCTGTATGTTTAAAAAATATTTGATTCTTGGATTTGAGAAAATGGGTTATAAAATGCAATAGCAGGTCGCCAGAGAGCCAGAGAACTATTGAATATTTAAGGATTAATGGCTCTTTAGTTAAAAACTGCCTTCTTTCAAGTAGCAACCCTTTTAGGTGAGAGTTTGCCTTGTCCACAAACAACCATAGTTAAAATTGGACTTGCTATTTCATTTGCATACACAAAGGATTTTGAATTTGAATTGACATTCTCACACTCCAAGGACATATATATGTCTGTCCCTCCTTTCCGCTCACCAAAAGCATCTGAGGAAGTAGAATGAAGTCTACAAAAGATCATGCTGCTAACTTCTTTCTTTCAGTTAGGGGGGTTGCTGACTGCCAGAAATAGTGCAAATTGAGTCCACTTTTAGGGTTAGGGTTAGAGTTAGGGAATCATGGGGACTGTAGTTTATTTTGGCACCAGAGCTCTCTGATAGAGAAGGCTCAATGTCTCAGGGGGAAAAAAACAATTCCCATGATCCCCAAGCACTAACCCTAACCCTAAAAGTGGACTCAATTTGCACTATTTCTGGCAGTCTGCAACCCCCATTAGTCTCAAAGGTGCTACAAGATCTCTCTACATAGTGATTCTACAGACTAACACGGCTGTATCTTTGAATTCTGCCTTTTAGGTTTGTCCTTTTTTTCACTTCTTTGTGCCTGTAGAATTGATTAGAGATTATTAGCTTTTGTACCTTGCTGTTGGTGGGGATGGGGCTGTTTTAATTACTGTTTCACTTTCATTTTCTCCCCTTTCTCTTTCTTTTATAGCAAAACAATCAGATAAGATTTGAACAGGAAGCAATATAAGGGTCTGTTCTGCAAGGAAGAAGCTGCTAAACATTCCAGGGGAATTTGGTTAAATGGAATGTACTTGCTAATATGGATTACAGAAGGATTTTAGCCATAAAAATCTGGCATTGCTTGTTGATACATATACATATTCAACCTTGGCTCTCAACCTATATTGCTTTTATAACTGTTATGTTAAACTCTTGAAATGTGTGGTACTGTGTCTGGCCTGGTCGAATCAAGAAACCCATGGTCCAAGTCTGGCTTTACTCCTGAACTCAGGAAGAGGACTTTGAGTGAGTTCAGAGTTTGGAAAGTTAATTTGGACTACAGCTCCCAGAATCCCCAAGCAAGTATAGCTGGACCAGTGGTCATACTAGAAAATTGACTGATGGCCATGTTGGGGAATTCTGGGAGTTGCAGCCCAAAAAGTAACTGATTCAATCAATCTGGGTCAGATGAACTGCCAGGATTGTTTCAGATTTTGAGTAGTTAGCCAATGGTACTAAAACAAAAGTCAGAGACTGAGCAGGACTTCAGAACCATTTGGGCAGACTCCAAACCAGCTCTGACATGGGCTTCCAACATTTGGTTTCCATGAGAGAAACACAGAGCTGTTTGTAAACAGTGTTTCATACAAAATGGACACAGATTTCACTTACCCACTGCAAACTGTGAACATGCTAAACTTCACAGACTAGTGCCATACTTGTGTCCACATTCGCACATATCTGAGAATTTCTGGAATGTGTTCATTCATGATTTGTACTCAGAAATAAAAAGTCACGTTTAAATAAAACCCTTAACTATATCGAACATGTTATTTGTGAAATCTGATATATTCTTCCAAAATGAGCTGAAATGCAAAATTTCATCAGTCTGCATTGGATAAAGTCAGTAGATGCAGCTCTTCTTTGTATGGAAGGAACATACTTTACCTGCCTGCCATATATGAGTGTTGAAGGTGAGGAGCCTCTTAAGGTGGGTCTACACTGGGCAGAATACTCCGGGCTTCCCCTGGAGAATGTGAAAATCTGAAAATGTGTGACATGCAAAACGAAAGAGGAAACTTTCCAAATAAGATGCACATTTTAAATGCAATCACTTCCATTGTGAAAGACGAACACATTTGGGTTAGTTTGACTGATAAACACTAAATGGATAAATTAAGAACAGATAAACAAACATTTCAGATATTTCTGTCTTGTTAGCAACTCCTGTAAAACGACTGTACAGACTCCCTTTTCCTTGGAAAATCAAATGTATATGAGAGACCTCTTAAATCCATGTGTTGTATTTATGAGCTGCCTCTCCACTACAAAAGAGTGCCTGAAACAATGTACAAAAACACTAGGAAAATATATGGGGGGGAGAATTCCACTGGGTTTCTCCAACATTTTCAAACATTTTCCTATCCACTATACAAGAACTCCTCCTAGTGGCAGCTTCTGTACCTACTTAACCTATCAAGACTCGCTTTGTTTGAATGTTGTGTGCTCATTATATGTGTTGTACTACAACTCCCAGTATCCCCAGCCAGTCAATGGACTCTGAAAGTTGTAATGCAACACATCTGTAGAGCACCAGACTCCAGAATGCCATATTAGATTTGTTGAAATGTTGATCCTCACAACTCTGTTGTATGCAGCCTTGTTTTGAAACCACAAAGATGATGCTGAAAAATCAGAGATGGACATACACACAGTAGGTATGCGGACTAAAAATACAAGTAACAGCACAATGACCAGGTAATTTCCCCATAGGAACAAGAAACTGAAGGCTAGCAGGCTTGCTGTAGGTTGAAATTTGGCTGGAACTGAAACAGCAAGCATGGGCATGACTTGGGGCAGTGTTTGTTCAGCCTGGATACAGCTACCACGCAGTCCTATGACCTCTTGGAAAAAACAGTATCTTATTTTTACTGTAGTTGATATTATTCCCTTGGAAAGAAAAAGCTCTTTCAAATTACTTCTACCTAATGCCATCATTACTAACATCCCTCCAAAATACCACCAGAAAACCCTAGAACAGTACTACAGGAAAGTGGTGGTACATGGACCAGTGCTGGTCCCTGAGCCATTGGCTGGTTGTCCCTGGAGAGTTGTTGTTCTTTTTCTTTTCTTTTCTTTTCTTTTCTTTTCTTTTCTTTTCT